CTTCCTGCCACTTTATTAGGTACAGCTGAATGCAATGCAGCACAACAGCTCTGTCACACATTCAACCATTACAAAGCTTATAACACTTTTTGATACAACTTTCTGAGAGGTGTTAATTCAACTGTAGATTTATTCGTTTTACAAAATACAAATGTATTGGTGTTGTACTGAACTGCATGATACCCCTCATGTTTGTAAGTGCGGTGGGCAAAACATGAGAAACACTTCTCAGTACGATGCAGTCAGTTCATCACCACTGCAAACCACAAACAAGTGGTACAGGCGTATCTAATAGAGCGGCCACTGAGTGTAATTGTCTCAGCTCTGCACAAAGCTGAAGTTGCCAGTTCAGCCCAGGCTTTCTAAGGAGACAAGGAAATAAAACTGAAAATTATACAAAAATTAAAATGCAAAAATCCTTGGAGGCCCTCAGACAGTCAGTGTACAAATACATTTACAAATAATAAGCAGAAAGTTACAAGAATTAATAACAGAAGGGGTTTATAATCCAAAATGGAATTACAATAAATCCTGCACTCTGATTCCCTCTGTAGTGGAATGCAACTTCAAAGATGATTGAGCAGTAAAGTTGTTACTGTTGCTGTTTTCTGGGATATTGACTCACAAAAAACGCTGAGTCAAGCGAACATACAATTCATTTTATCACTGTCATCACTATCTCCGTTGTCGTCCCGGTTTTATCATCATCATCCATTTTATAAACTCTTCACGGTGATGAGCATCAGTTATCGAGAATTAAATCTTATTGAGCTTCCCTCGTGTGACGTAACAAGAATGCAGTGCTTTCTGCGGTGCAGCTCTTATAGATTTTAATGGAAGCTTTCTCTCGCTGGCTGATAGCTAGCGGCTGATGGCAGTGACTGATGCCCGGTGGCTGTAGAGGAGCCTGGGGTTTAGGTGGGAGGCGGAAAGAGGTGATGAGCCACCAGATGAGATGAGGGTAGCTCGAGTTCTTTGAGAGTGGAGTGCCGACAAGGAGAGGGTGATAAGAAAGGTGGTTATTTTGTGTTGGTTGTGAGGTATTCTTGTTAATCTCACCCATTGTTGTCTAGTAGTTGCAGCTGTAAATAAACATGTTTATATGCTTGCGGGATTACATTTGCTTTCAATTCATGTCCCACAACACTGTCAACTATTTTTCAGTTAATGCTAATTTGGACAGTCCCACGCTTTGTATATCCAAAAAAAAAAATCCTTTGGATGTTTTTTGTTTCTAGCTGCGAGAATGAAGCCAGAGATCACAGGAATGAACATTTGTTTTGGGGTATCCCATTTCCATGAAAATATTTTGTAAATTTCAGAATCAGCTCCTTGAACCGTAGCAGGTGTGTTTGTGTGTGAATGAGGGATGGGAGAAAGAAACTGAGAAAAGGAAGAGGGGAGATAAGGGTAAAGGATGACGCGAGCACAGAAGAAATCAGAGAGAAAGAGGAAAACAAACAAAAAAGCGACGAGATGGAGAGCTAAAACAGATTATTTACCTCAGTGGGATAAACAGGGAGGCATACAGGATGGAACGAATTTGAATGACAAGGCAACTGATTTCTCTTAATTGGTTTTGACTGGCTCTCTTTGAACTGCCGGTGTGCTGCGGCTCTGTTTCCAGGCAAACCGCTATCTCTTGCAATCTGGAGTGCTGCTTAATTTCTCAGACAAATATCAAACCTCTCTCCACACTAGATTAGTTGCAATTTAATAAGATTTGCACTGTTGCAGCTCACCAGGGGTTTTTCTTCTTTTGCCTTGAAGCATAGGGAAGCCAAACCTTGCTTTAAGGTTCTTCTGTGCTCCACCTCCTATATCAGAACACCCACACACACCACCCACATATCTGCTGCCCACCTACAGTTCCACACACTTGCATAAGAGGAACCAAAAGAAATCACTCCAAATATGTTTAAATATTGTTTTCTCTTAAACTGAGTGCAGGAAACTACCACGGTGGTGACATAATATCCTATCCTTCCAGTGCAAATCTGTATTTTAAGAGTTTTCTCAAAGCGAGTGAAGTATCTTGACATACGGCTGATTCCTACGCTTTTTTCAAGGTACCATCACTTGATCCGAGAAAAACTTGAGAGTGGAGCTGATTTGCATTGAAAACGAATGACATTATCTCACCCTACAGTTTTTTTCCCCTTCCTTTGCTTTCCATAAAATAAATCACATTTTAAGAAGCTATAGTGGAATAAATGACTTGTTGAGGGGGATTTTTTTTTTTGTGCGGGGGGTTTGTTGGCACAGTAAGTGCCGCCTGTCAAGACCTCAGCGAAGATGAGCTCTTCACTTGAGTGGCAGATGCTTTCTCTCAATAGGATCCACAAACATCCCAAACCCATGGCAACAAGCTTTTTGCCTCACTGTCTGTCTAGACTTTTATTGACAGCCTACCGCTAGATTAGCTGAGTCCTCGGAAAGGTTGAGAAGTCTCCTGCTGGGCACATGGCAGTTAACCCTATTTCTCCACAAGCACAGCAGACTTCAGCTAAGAATGCAGACAGATACATTGTACCCTTTTCTTTTTTATCTGATCCTCTCTAGAGTCACGTAACCCACAGAGAGTTACTCTGAGTTGCGGATTGATCCAAGTGAAAACTTAGAATTCTGACAGTCTTGTCAGTCTGCCGGTGGAAAATTAGCATGCTTCTGCCTATATTGGGATACTGCTTTCGCTCCTCATCACTTGATTGAGCTGTGATCGAATTAAATTTGATTAAGATTTAATTACTGAACCAACTCGCTGCACAGAAAGTCTCACCAAGTCGTCAGTGACACAGAAATGATTTTGGACATAATTTCTTGGAATCTGTCCAGCAGCGGTAACTAATTCTTCTCACTTGTTTAAAACTAATCAGTATAATTTTAGATTGTTCTAAATTCTTTCTAAAGAGAGTGGTGAATGGTGGTACCCTCAATACAACTGCACTGTTATAATGGTTATTTAATCAAACCATTAACATACACTTTCCCCCCTTTTTCCCCAGTATTTCACCTTGTTTGACAGCATTTCATATATATTCTGTCTCAGCTTACTCCGGCTCTTCATCAAAGCCATTTGACATTCACAATGGGTGAAATACGCAGACCCAAGAGTCTATATTTTCTACCGCTGCACTATTCACTCAAATAGAAATATTCTAGACGTCTTTCTAGATGTGCATTATTTTATACACCTTTCACCAAAATTCAGGCTGACATATTTGGTATTTGGAAACTTTGGGATTTCCACTAGAGTAGAACTTCTACTCTAGTGGAAATCATGTGTGTTTGAAAAAAGTTTGGCTGCACAGGGTGAGTGTGTACCAGGCTGATCCACCATAAAGTCTGAGTTTTTTAGCCAAGCTGGCAGCTCTAGGGATGGCTTTGTTGGTCAGTCGATCGGTCTGCCACTTTGATCCAGACTGAAATACTTCAAACAACTTTTGGATAGATTGTCATGAAATTTGATCCATGTATCTATGGTGCCCAGACAATGAATCCCAATGACGTTTGTGAATCCCTGACCTTTCCTGTAGCGCCACCAGCAGGTTGACATAGGTGGTTTTGAGTGCAATGTCTTAAAATCCATTGGACAGATTGCTATGAAATTTGGAACAGACAACCAAGGTGAATTGTAAAGCCTTTAATGATCCTCTGACTTTTCATCAAGCGTCATCAGGCAGAAATTTGTGTTTGTCCAAGACGTTGGTTCATGAAATATCTGTAAAACTAATGACATTCCCATCAGCCTCAGCTACACTTTGTGTTTTGTGCTACTTGTGAACATGGTAAACATACCTGCTAAACATCAGTGTGTTAGCATTAGAGGCATGTTAGCATGCTGATGTTAGCATTTAGCTCAAAAGTACAGCCTCAAAGGGCCTCTAGAAACATGGATGGAAAACACTACACCATTTTTAACAAATCAAAGAGCTCTTAGACAGCTTGGAATAAACAAGCATTTAGTGTCCTTAGGGGAATAAAGCTTGCATGTCATTAGTGCCACATGAAACAAGACAACAGTAAACACAATGTCCCCTCACAAATGTTGCAGCCCTTTCTGGGCCAATCTGTAACAAATATGACATTTTGTTTTGAGCGGAGATGAAACCCTTCAGTGTAATTTTGAACATGTCAAGATGTATTGGAGAGATGCATCATCCCCCCAAGTTTCATCAAAATCTAGTCTGTGGTGTCAGAAGTATTCTATGTGACAACTGTATGAATTCATGAATAATATAGCACCCCCTCGGGTTTATGAATATAAATTTATAATGCTGGAATACAGGAGTGAGATGCATCGTTGACCAAGTTTGATCACTACTGACACGGGCTGTAGAAGGGTAATCCCATTATTGAGTTCAACTCAATTTACACTATTTTAGCAATGATTCAGTAGATCATAAAATCTCACATTCATTTACCAGTATATTTTGATTTGCTTAAAGCATGGAGCAATCCAACGATTTTTCACATGGAAGTTAATGGGGGGGGGGTTGAGTAATGTCTTCTGTGGCTCTGTCATCACTGTTATCTTGTGGGCATTTACAAAGCAAGGTCTAAAAAAGGATGCATTGCAATGTGAACCATACTAGAAAATATTTTTTTCCTTGCTCTTAATAGTATTTTAACAAAATATATGTTGGTTCGCATTATATTTTTTTCAGAGGAATTGCAGGTCTACTGAATGATTTAGTGCCCCTTACAATCAAATGTGGCTAATCGTGGGTAAATAAATGAAATATTTGTATGTGTTTATCAGTTTCCTCTGTGTTTGGCCTGTTCTTTCCCTTGCAGCCTGAAAACCTGTTCTGATGGTTTGTTTGGTGTCCAGTTTATTAGATTAATACTGCTGTTATTTATACCTCCAAACGGCCTCTGAAAACTTCTCTGAGCAAGTGTACAGAAAGCCAAATCCAGAGACCAATCTCCAACTCTGAGCTCATCATTGGGGACCACAACATGACCCTAACCTGACCTCTGTCCGCCTTGTGTTGCAGGAGTCCCACGTATGGCTCTCTCTGCGGGCGGGAGGGACTGCCTGCGTGCTGGGGACACTTGCTCCAGCGACGACACCTGCAGCCCGAGACTGCGCACCCTCAGGCAGTGTGTGGCAGGGGACGGCAGCGTGAAACTGGGGCCCGGGGCACGAAACCAGTGTGAGAACGCTATGACGGCGCTGCTGTCCACTCCTCTGCACGGCTGCCAATGTAAACGAGGCATGAAGAAGGAGAAGAACTGCCTGAGTATCTACTGGAGTCTGCATCAGTCTGTGCTGCATGGTAAGACTGGCAATAACACACAGAATCTGATGGTTCTGTTCCAGAGATGTGGGTGGGAGGAGGTACAATAAATTATTGGGATTATCAAGTGTGTGCCGCCCATTACACATGAATTAGGCCTCCGCCTCCAGACAGCTCAACAGTAAATTCCAGGCTGAAATGAAAAGAGTAATTATACTGTCAAAAATAGTTAAAACTGAGCCTCCGATTCCTTTTGTTCCACCCACACTCATTGTATTTGATCACTTTTGTGCTTTTTTTTTTAAATGCTTTGCACTACCATTATCATTTCCTTCACTGAATCCCATAATTTGTGGAATATTTACATTCAAATGTATGCATTAAGCAAATACTTGTATTTTCAAAACAAATTAAACGAGTGCAACAGTGGTTGCATGGTTGACAACGTTGTGAATATCCTGCACATCTAGTGAAAATGTGAAAGACGTGACATGGAGATCATTTAGCAATGAAACAAACAGTAAAGCTCAGTTGCCTGAATTTCATACATCAACCATCATTATTTTCAGGCTGGAGTGAGTATGCAACAATCATTCATGAGGAACAAGACACATACACAGGGTAGACTGCATAATATAAGTTAATAACTGGTTATGTAACAGTCACAATTTAATACTGATGTCTCTATATGACCTACATAAGCATTATTATTCTTAATGGCTGCCCCTGCGTGGTATTCTGTTGGATTCTTCACTTTTGTCCACAGGGGCCGCCAGAATCAATTCAAAATGAAAGTTCCTTGTAGGAGCTTTACCTTGTAAGCTGTTTAACAGGATTAGTCAACAACCTCATGCTAAAATATTTTTCACTGGGACGCCCGGGTATCTCACCTGGTAAAGCTAGAGAGGTTAAAATCTAACCTGTGGACCTCATCCCCACTCTCTCTCCCCTTTTCCTGTCTATCATCAGCTGTCACTATCAATTAGAAAATAAGATGCCTAGACATCTTTTGACCAGCACATCTTTAAATGATGTTTAGAGGCTGTGTTTGGTGTATTTTGACACAGTTCTCAAGAACATTGACTTTATTTTAACTTTGTTACTTAAACTGCTGTTTTTATTAACTCAAGCACGCTGCAGTTATCTGGCCTCTTTACAGCTCCTTCAGTCACGTCATGTTGCTTTGAGAACCCACATATTAAAGTGCTGATTGCCAGACCTGTTGTAGAACTAATAAGACTGTTAATTTGATTTCAACCTCATATGACCTGCTTTTGTATCTGAGTTCTGTATCTGTTTTTTGTAACTGTAGCAACTTAAGTTGAGTTGAACTTTTTTTTCAATTAATGTTAATTACTTTGTTAACTGGATTCATTTATTCTGTAATTAGCGCAAGTTAAGTTTAATATAAAGTAACCATGTTCCTGCAATAATACCTTAGTATCTGTGTTGGTTCTAGTTTCAGGTCCTTTAGTTTACCGTATGTTGTGCTCACATGGTGCACATATAAAGTTGTGTTTATTAAGATTACCACAAACTTACTGATACAATAAAGCATGGGGGTCAGCCACTTTACAAAGTATGCAGTGCACAGAGACTTTGTATGTAATGTTTATGATATATAGTGAGTGTTTGTTGTCATGACAACGGTAACTAACCTCTCTTCTCTGTGTTGGCAGGGCTCAGCCTGGTGGAGAGCTACCCGTATGAACCAGAGGAGAGGGGCTCTGACTACGTGCGTCTGGCCTCCATCGCTGCAGGTGACTGGGCGAGCTGCGACTGCCACAAGTCTTTTTCTGCTTCTGCCTCCAGTTACAGAGCATAGAGAAAAAAAGCTATTCAAATAATCAAAAGCATCTATTTTTCACAAAAAAAACAACATACTAATTGACTCCCAACCAAGTTCACAAGTTATGTGTCAAAGCAACATAAAATCTAGATGTTATTCTGCATCATTTTGACGGAGTAGACAGGTGGATATGCAGGTGGGTTTGCAAAGTGTTTGATGAGTAACAACCCACACTTTGCTTCTGTCTTGCCTCTGAGCCTGTGGGCAAGCTGCAGGGCTGGTATGTGCTGCTGTTAGCCCCTGAGGCACAGATTAATTACCTAGTTACTTTAATGCACCTGAAAGCAACTAAACGGGGGGGGACAGAAAGAGAACAGAAAGAATTGAGAGAGGGAAAGAGGTAAAGGAAGTGAGACAAAGAAAATGGAAGACAGACAGAGGTGGTTTGTGTAAACAATACTACATTTTTTTCCTGTTGGAGGTTGGGAAAAGAGACAGGCTGCACATAAATGAGAAGTTAAAACATTTTTTTTCACTCGAGAGGACATAAAGTCAAGTGTTTTGTTTTCTCCGACGGCAATTATACTTTGGATGAGTGAAGCTATGATGGAGAGTCTGTGAAACTTAAATAATGACTTAAATGAAGTGATTAGTATGGAAGGCATTCGTGCATGCCTTACAGTATCATGATAAATGTCCTAAATATGCTGAAAACGAGGATAATGACAGCTCAAAGGGAGGACACTGCTTAATTTAAACATTTATATACAGTCTGTTTCTCAAACATAAAGCTAGAACTAGAGAAGCAGTGATGTTTATCATGTTTATCTCAGTATCATGGGTGTCTGCTTGGTAATGTTATTGCACTAGGTTGTTTTGTATGTTGGCAGCTCCTATGGCAATGAGGGATCAGTGTCAAATACAAATTTAATGATTTAAAACCTGAAGTAATGCAGGGTGACATCAGCAAACTGCACAGGCTTTTTTTATACCACAGGGTTAAGAAAAGACAATCTAATTGATCTAACGATGTGTACCACATCCATATCAACATAATTTTAAACTTTATATTTTATATAAAATCTGTATTTGTGCAGGCGATCTAAGCAGCTTAGAACCCGTTCAGGCGGGCAACTCAGTGGGCTCTAAGGGGTGTTATACATCCAAGTAAGTTCAGTAAAATCTATTACTATCTAAAAAGAGGCTATTTGTCAAAATATGTAACAACAACAGGCTAGTAATGGGGATCTGTTTCAAAATGGGACCATGCTTTTAATTTAAATTTTATGTTGTATTTGCCCACAGCACTGTACAACTGCGTGTGCACTCAAGCCAGTAAAAGAATAATTCTGGTTTATTCCATCATCTGACGTCAGAATCAGACAACACAAAATGTTGTTTAACCTCTAGGTTATATCTGTCGTTAATAATTAAATAGTTTTTTCAGTTATTATAAAAGCATTAATATCTCAAATTCTATATATTCTACATAATACATAAACATAGACATAACACTTGATACACATGGGGCCCCATGGTAAAGTTCTAAATGTATTGGAAAACTTTATCAATAGAGCCCCCCTGTGGTCAGTTATCCTTTCCTTTTGGTTAATGGTTATATATACGAAATGTACTGCTACTAAATGCATCTCAGACCAAAGCATTTGTTCGATAGGACCCACCAGACTACATAGACAAAACCAATAATTTTACCTCAGGTAATAGGAATACACACTTTAAACACACATTCCCAAACGCTGACAGCTATAAACATGGCACATATACTTCTAACTTGTTCAGCATATTTAATATTTTAGCAGCAGCTTGTAGCAGTCCCGCATATTTTCTTCAGAAAAATATTTTTTGTCTTTTTAAATAGGCTTGTTTTGCATAATCGAGGGACATCACAGATTACGAAAATGTAATAAACTGTCCTAACCTGTTTGTGAGACTTTGTGTATAGGAGTGGAAAATACATACAAAAACCACAAGAAAAAAACCCAAAACAATTCAGATTTAGTGGATGTCCCCTTTTACGTGCTTGATCATACGTTTTGTGACCTCATACATAAGCTGCTTATTAAAATGACACCACTCGTTTTAGGCTGCTTTGAATTACAGCAGCACCAGACCTGCACTGTACAGCCTCCTCATAAATTTCACTCCACCGACTCCACAGCAGGTCAAAGTTGACATCCATGCCATGCATCTCGACAAGTCGACTGCCAAAACAACAAAGATGTGATTAATGGATGTTTTTCCGCCCTTATAGCATCTCTCCCTCAAACAGAGTAATGACCCTTTTCAAAGACGCAAACTAGAGCCACCGCTCATCATATTTTGAGGAGTATTCAAATAACAGAGTACTTCACCCTTTACCAATTAATCAGTTAACTAAAGTTAAGTCAGTGGTATTAAGAAAGTGCCTCCGTTTAAACACATTAGAAAGAAGCCTTTTAATGCACCATTGGCCTCTAGAAGTGGTAGAAATTGATTTTCCGTACTAAGATTTTCTACTTCATGCACCTTGGTTGTAAGACAAATACCAACAGTTTTGTTTTCTTTGATTCTCTAACGCAACATGTTGGTCACAAACCTCATGAAAGCAATGAGGAAACCACCACTGTCGATCTAAAATGAAGCAATAGTTGCTATGTAAATGTAGGGTTTTCTCTCAGAAGAACTCATCAAGTTAAAGTTTAGTTAAACATAGGACTTTATTAGCTTCAGGGCTGAGCATCATCACAGCAAGACGTAATGTTTGCACTCACATCTGAGGGTGGATTACCTACACACCACAACACTCACAGTCTAACTATATTAATACTGACTGAAATAACCACAGATGAACTGTAGGAACAGTGAGAACTCTATAGAACAAAATGTTGAATACAGTAATACCAGTAGCATTGCAGAAACAGATTGATGTCCATAAAAATGTTGTCCAGGTGCCTGCTGGGAGGCTTTCCACTGCACTGCCACAATATGTGTACATATATGTATGGTGGATAAATGGGTTATACTATAGGAGTGGCTTAAGAAGTTGCTATGGACTTGCTGGTAACTGCTGTGACTCCAAGCTGAGTACAGCTGTTGTCCTTCACAGAGGAGCTGATAGGACCCCTCCCGTCTGCCTGCAGTGGTTATTAGGCTGGCCACTTGCAGTCAGGGAGGGTCGTTAAGGTAATGTGGTAGCAGCTGTATAGGCCTCCACCAAGTCTATAAAGACAAGCCTTTCCTCTTTGTCTTTCTCTCTATCTAAGGTTCACGCCTTCCAGGTTTTGGTTCAGTTTGACATTGTGCTGCCACAAACATACACATCCCTCACTCACCCATACATTCCACTCACCACTGATACAATCACTCACCACACCTCATGCACTTTTCTAATAGTAATGTTGGTTTGCAGAGAGCCGCAGAATCAATCCCGGGCCACTGCGGTAAAGACTCAGCCTTTGTACATGGGGCGCATTCTTTACCAGGTGAGCTTCCAGGGAGCCCCGTTTGTCAGTTTCTAAAAAAATACTTAATTAACCTGACTGGTCTCCCCTGTGCAAACTACAAACTTTTCAGAGCCGCCTTTGAAGCTTTGGTTGTGGTTGTGAGTTCCGATGGTGAAGTATTCCTTTTAGAGTTAAAAGTGTAATCGCATCAATTTTAGATGAACTACAGGAATTTTAGACCATAGATGTCTGTGCCTTTTTAAAATGAACAAATAAGAAAAAAATAAGGTTGTAATGGTTAAAAATATTAAAATAAAGTTTACAAATATTTAAGTTTCATTCAAAGCTTGAAGTCAGTGCTGGTTGTGGAGCCAAACAGCAGAATGTGTCACCGTCCAAATACTCCACTGCAGATTTAAAATTTAGATATGCCATGATGAATATTACACAACCAGGCCTGTGCATGGAAAACAAGCTAGAGCATGAGTACATTCAGTCTCCAGTGTCTCCAGTGAGGAATGGCTCAGGACTGTGGTTGTACTGGGCATCTCTTAGGTGTAAATGTGTTAAGGGATGAATGTGAAGCAGGATGTTCCTGGATAAGAGCATGCATGCTCAGCAAGACTCCTCTGAATAAATAATGGCTTAAAGAAACACAATGACAACATAAAAACGTACGTGCATATTCCATCTCCCACACATGTGGCCACTGGATGCAATTTGTCATCCCACCCTGCATTTCCACCAGGTCCTCCCGTCCTCCCCCTTCGTCTGCTTAGCAGTTAAGTTGGGAATAACCTATGCTTTGTGATGGGTTGTTAGCTTTCTTTCCAAAGCCATTCATATTTTATGACAGCTTGGTGAGAGGCAAACTCACCAGGAGACACAACTACAGGCAGTTTACAAACTAATGAGCAGCGCTATCTGCCAGAGGAGCTGAGTATCATCATGGCCGTATTGACTGGGAGGTCGCTTAGGAAAAAGAAAACACACATGATGATGGATTGGGAAATAATGTGGCCAAAAAAGATGGTTATGAAAGGGGCTTTCCACTGCCTCCACAGAGGTGGCTCATTACCACGCAGAAGTCAATGGGAGCATGGGCATTGAGGGAGGCAGAGATGGACAAAGTTGAGGAAGAATGGATGGAAAAGAGGGGAGAGTGTGCTGATTGGGGGAAGGAAAGAGACAGATGGAGTGTGGGGCGATTGCAGCGCTGAGAGTGGCAGACACACAGCGAGGGAGGAAGATGGTGAGGGAAGGAGGGAGTCAGGTGAGTGAGGGATGGACCCAGATGTAGGGAGGGAGTGTTGGAAAGATGGATGGATGGATGAAGGGGAAGGAGCAGTAATTACAGGCCTTGTTGTGCGGTTGGAGAGATGGAGGATCCGCTTTTGCAGCACTGCCACTCTGCATTAACACAGCAGAATGAAATATTCAGCCATTAGGACTCGGCTGAAACACATCCAGTGCCCCGTCTCATGCAGCATTTAAACACCATTCATGTTCTATTCATTATAAGGCGGCCTATTACATATAATCATAATTTTGCTTCAGTTTGTACTTCAAGACATACACTCTTTTTTTCATCTGTAAATGCAACACTGCATCTGAGTCTAGAGGTGAGAGTGGCAAGTCAATACCAACTCCAATTAGGCCTTGAAATCATTGGTAAACATTGACTGGGATTTGATTTTCTCAAGCTACACAGAAGGATAAAATGCTTTCTGCCTCACATTTGTGTTTTATTCTCCTACTAGAGTCTGAAGTAACAACGGTGAACCGCTGCCTGGATGCTGCCAAGGCGTGTAACATAGATGAGACATGTCAGAAGCTTCGCACGGAATACGTCTCGTCCTGCATCCAGCCGTCAGCCCGGTCGGGGCCATGTAACCGACCAAAGTGCAACAAGGCGCTGAGGAAGTTCTTTGACCGCGTTCCCCCCGACTACACCCATGAGCTGCTGTTCTGTCCCTGCACCGACACGGCCTGCGCAGAGCGCCGCCGTCAAACCATCGTGCCGACCTGCTCCTACGAGGACAAGGAAAAGCCCAACTGCCTGGCTCAGCTGCGGATCTGCAAAGCAGACTACGTGTGCAGGTAGAAATTAGAAATCTTGTCCAACATGCTGCCTGCTGCCAAGAACATTTAACTCTTAATTATCTGTGTTAAGTTCAACTCAGGAAATTAATACTTTTTCGACTTACTGAACTGATAATTTGCAGCAACTGTGACTTCTGTTTAGGGATCACAAAGGTCATTTTATATGTTCTGGCTCAATTTTTGCAAGTTATGTACACATATCAATGCTGAACCTTTTTCAAATCATATCATAATTATTAGATATTGGTTAGACATGGTGTTCTTTTTTGTCTTAGTGTAGTATAAAATAGAATTTGTAGTGAGGTCACACTAAAATAGGTAGGTAAGGAAATAGGAAATATGTAATACATGACAGAAAACACTGATTGATTTGTCCTGGTGTGTTCAAGTGCTGCTCTGAAGCTCTGATGTCCGACATTTAAAGCTGAAATAAATAGTTTTGTCGGTCAGAGGCAGAAAGTACACTCCCACATAAATGGAGAAACAAGCTTTGATACACTACATCAGCTTATAGAGTTCTTATGTTTAACTTGTTAGCAAACACCTGTCTGAGGTTACTGACACATCCAGCATCTTGTTTGATCTGCCAACTCCTGAGAAAACTATCTGGGTCTTTTTTTCTTGTTAGATGTTTGACCAGCTTCACCAGCTACTTGTTTACTTTGGCTCTCTGCTGTTTCACGCTGGACAGGTATTCTACAATAGATTTGTGCAAGCCTGAGGAGTACTCTGTAAGAGTTGGAGCAACTCAAATATACAGACTGGAAAACACAGGCTTGTCCAATTACAGAAAATTACATTAAGCTGCTTTAATTGGTTTTTGGCAACTAGCTGACAGTCAAACAAAAGTAGTTATGGGTAGCAAATTGTTGCCTATTTCCAGCATATTTCCTTTGCCAGCTGTTTGGATCTGGACAGGTAGAGTACACTCACTTCATTATAGCTTTTTTTGGGGCTGAAAGCAGAAGCCTGCTGGCGAGCACTGAGACTGAACCAAAACAGTAAAAGTGCATTAAAACCTAAGCAATGAGTTAAAAGTGGCTGAAAAGCTCTGTTGAGCTGTAGCTTTGGGCAATAATTCTCTGTATGTGCAACCACTTTCACATGGCAGATCCAATGTTATATAAATTAATACTGACTAACATACTTTAGTAAGGCTCAGTCACACCAGCATTTAAAACAGCAAAATTGTAAACTTGGTTCATGTCAGTCGCCATAAGGAGTGTTTTTGCTCAAATCCTTTCCATTGAGTTAAACTTGGATATTCTTTGACACCACTGACCGTTAACAATCTGCTTTGACAGTGCTGACCTTTAGCGGGAAAGGACAGGAAGCTATTGTCACTTACCTGTCACCTTAATTTAACCTCCTTTTTTAGAGTATAAACTGCTCCATAAAAGACACCTTGTTTGTAGAGACAGTTTTTTTGACAGGGAAATGGAAACAATGGTATGAATAGTCAGTGTGAGCTTATTGTCCCATTAGACCCCAAATGCTGCAAAACAGCACCTACTTTCAACTTTAACTTGGATTTAAAAATGACAATGGATTACCTATGAAGACAAGTTGCAGCGGTATCTTCCCCACTATTGTGCTCGATATGAAGTGCTTTGTGTATGTGGTGGCCTTGCACACTAACATCCCCTCAGGACAATAAATGGCATTGTGTATCTTGGAAGATAAGTCTGAATGGTATGATATGTTCATTTAGATTTAATTAGTCAGCTGCGTTTAATTAATTCAATTGTTATACTCATTAACTGTGTTTAATTAGTTCAATTAAATTCTGCATTCATTTTCTGAGAGAAGCAGCCAGGCAACAAGCAGCCAACTATGTGAAATAGTCATTATTAGAGCAGCCATTATCATTTGGGATTCACACATGACTTTCCTGCCAAAGTGCTCTGAAAATATTTGTCAATGTACAGCCGAGACATCAGCAGGATTAGTTGGTAATTTGCAGAAAACTGACCCTCTGTACAAGATATCGGAATGAGCCCATTTATTCTGCATTAAATCTCTTTGTATGTGAGACACCAATAAAAATAAAGATTTAATTTAGATTTAAATTGATTGTAAACATCCAATCAGAAAACTAACAGTGTCTTATGAAGTCATTAAAATTCAGAGGGTGTATTTCTCTCTATCGCTGGAGACTGAAAACATGGAGTTCTCATACACATCCCGTCAGCCTCCTCTCTCTGACAGCAAACGGTCGCCAGCGTTTAATCTAGTTCCTCTTCAAATGTCAGGAAGACAAAGGGCTTCATCTGTCACGGCTATCGATCAGGCATTATTCTCCACCACCGCCCCGATGGATGGAGTATCTCAAGGCCCTTGCGCAGCCCGCCAATCCCGCACTAGTCGGCTGGCATTAACCGGCAGCCTGCAGAGGATGCTTTCACTTAGCGCACAGCCTATGAGTTTTACGCGCATCATTATAATGACATGACAAACGAGGGGAGAGTGTGGAGTTGTGGCGCCCTGAGGGGATCCCGTTGCAAATGCCAGTCGACGGGAGCTGATGATGCGATATGATGGCAGCGATAGCCTTGTAAGATGATGATGATGATGAGGCTAGATGTCTGAGCGGCTGGCAGGAAAGGTGAAGGAGGGAAGGCAGAGCGGCTGTGGGAAGATATTTATATGGAAGATCCATATTTGTCTAATCTCCTCATGGCCAGGCCTGCCAGACACTGCCCACGGTATTTAGAGAGCAGAGCCAAGGCCTATCTTTGCCCCTCATTGACTCTTTACAGCCTGGCAACCTTCCATAAGACAGCTCGCTGGGGAAAGTGAGGAGGAAAGAAAAAGAGGGATGAATGTCACCAGGGGTGACTGGAGTCGAGGTTGAAGTGTTGCAGAGCGGGAAATCTTGAAGGGGGCTGATGTAGGTGTATAGGTAGGTAGATGAGCATTGTGGGTTTCAGATCCACATCCAGTTGTTGAGAGAAAGCACCGATGCCGGCCATTCCTCGGTGACACAAAGTGTGCAGCAGCCAAGCACGAGTAAATGATGGATGGCATGTTATTGCTCCCACAGGTCTCGCTGGGCACAGTTCCAGTATGATTGCCAACCTTCCGAGCAGAGCGCCAGTGGCTGCAAGCAGGAGAACTACGGAGCATGTCTACTTGCGTACACCGGCCTGATGGGTAAGAACTAAATTTTCCTGTGCCAGCTCTGGCTCACCCACATTCTGTGATAGATCAGGAACAAAAAGGTTTTAGAGGGAGGAAGGCGGAGAGCAGACAAGTGTACTGAACAGGACTCAAAAGAATGAATCAAGGATTGTGATGAGAAGCGTGGTCGAACGATCGATGGAGCGCTGATTAATGTGGCTGCAGCATGCCCGGCCAAGTTGTTGGTATTATAAGTAGTGCAATTACAACTATTGACCGCTGTTTTGAGAGAATTATCCCTGACATGACGATGAGTGGGAGCAGGCAGAGGCGTAGAACACGGCTTATTGTACTTTAGATAAAAACTTAACAAAAGATCACATAATGCACAAAAGGTTGTTTAAAAACCACTCAGTCTCAACATGTCATTATGGGACAACAATACCGCACTGAACTGCAGCTGCTAAAAGAGCAAAAAAAAGAAAGAAAAGTTGTTTAGTTTGTGAGGGACTGAAGGAGACCGATTAAGGAAGACAGAGACGGAAAGCTGTGCAGCAGTGATTGGCTATTTTAGACAACCGAAGTAGAAGTGAGACGCTGAGGTGTTGTTGTTTGGAAGTCTGGAACCCAGAAAATCGATGGAGGTAAATCAGAACTTTTTTCGCCACACTGCCTCAAAGTGCAGCAATTCTATTTCCCACCCCTTTTAAAAATACAAGCTACAAGGCTATATTACCCTTCCCAGAGAATGACTTCCCAATCATTTCCCACTGAAAAGCTCCAAAGGCAGAAAAGAATAAAAAGAATACATCTGAGAGACCTCTGTGCTGGTGCCTGGACTTTGCACTGCGGGCCGCTGCACTTATCAAAGTCCACCAAGCTCCCTGCCCCGGTGGATATGCATGTTAGAAACTCTGAAAACTAGAAAAGCTAAACCACAGCTACTGTACTTGTTGTTTGGACTTTATCTGTTGCAACAAACACAACTCACAGAGACATCGAGAGGAGGATGCTGTATAAGCAGTCAGCTCTGTGTCTCCTTTTTTATGCATTCATATGATGAATACATCCACAAAGAAAATCACATTTAAAAATAATTGCCTGTCACAAAAGATCAGAATGTTTTTAGCAAATGTTAGCTGGTTTCCAATACCCATTCCTGTGAAAAACACAGACAGTACAACTTTATTGGCTCAGTAATGTCAAGCCCTGTCAGCAACTGGGATTGAACCAGTCAACATTTGATCACCAGGCTGCCCGCTTAACTAACCTGCCATTCTCTGTCTCTATTCACTTCACTTTCATCTGTTCTCCTTTTTGATATTCTTCTTGGTTTCTCTCTCTGTGAATACATTTACGTGCACACTAATAACTCAGTCTTAACCTGATTAGGGCAATGTTGTGATGATAGAAATTGCCTTGTCTTTATTTAATTACCATAATCAGGGTAAGGTCATAATCAGGATAAGTATAACAAGATTAAATCAGCCAGAATTTTGCTCAAACGTTCAATTTGTTGGAATATTGAACTCTTCAGTCAGACAGTATTTCTAGCTCAAAATGGCACAAGGCAGCAGGTTGAGTAGCTTGAATAACAACTAAACAGTTCAACAAAATAAAAGACACTACTTATTCATGTGATCTCATAATCAGATCAAATCATTGTGTTGATAACCTTGAAACATGGGAGTTATATTACTTTGGTATGCGTACAGAACAACTGTGTTGTGTCTCCCTCTCCTCCACTCTACAGGAAGCATAATAACTCCCAACTACCTTGACAACTCCACATCCAACGTGGGACCCTGGTGCTCCTGCACAGCAAGCGGCAACCACAGAGAACAATGCAATGACTTCCTCACTTTTTTCCACGACAATGTCTGCCTGAGTGAGTACCTGCTGCAGAGAGAGACCTCTGGCAACACAATAGCAATAACAACCCTGACAAAGAACCAGGTCAAGTGTGCGCATTAAGAAAGTTTACTTGTGAACAAAATAATCAGTGATACTTCTAAACCGCAAAAGTCCTTTTGATAACAGTTTGTAACACTAACACGAGTCAGTCTAAACCAGTTAATGAATATTTTTGCGTTTGCTGCTCTTATAGCTCCTTAAAACTATATTTTGTGGTTTGTTTTGTGCACAGATGAACAAAAGAACACAACTTGCAGACACTTTATATAAATATTATTTTCAGGCCTTTTTAAAGTCTGATTTTGATATTTCTTCAGACATAATATCCTGAAATGTGTCTGTTTTAGGCAGAAACAAAAAATAAAAATAAAATAATTCTCTTCCAGAATTAGAGAGGGCTTGGAAACAGCATTTCACCATTACGTAATACAATTACAGGAATAAGAATGGAATAGTTAAAGAAGTATTCAGTCATTTTATCCTCTTATTTGCTTTTTTGCTGAGAAATCTGTGCTTGAAACAGGATTGAGATTAGTTTAACTCGCTTAGCTTAGTTTAATTTAGCATAAAGACTGGAAACAGCTAGCCTTGCTCTGTCTAAAGTTTTACAGACTACACATACAACATATGTGGTTACATGTGAGCATTAAAAGGTGCTGGTAGGTGTATTTTTTGGATATAGCCAGGATAGATGTTTTCCTAATCTGCTAAACTAAACTAAGGCTTACCAGCTCCAGTTCTGTATTTATTGCACATACATGAAAGTAGTATCAACTTTTCATCTAACTCTGGGCAAGAAAGAGAATAAAATCAATACAATTTTCCTTTTTCATTATAACAATCAATTAAACAATATTTGGACTCATAACCTCAACATGAAATGCTAGCTACTGCCCTGTTCATCAATAAGAAAACAGAAAACAAAGTCCTGCCCACGTTGTCAAACTGACAAGTCTTCTCCAGACGACCACTTTGTTTCATTTTTCAATATCCGTGAAGAGTGAGCACTCCTGACACATCAGTGACACAGTGAACACTGCACAGTCACTCCCTCGCCATGTCTTTACTTCAGTCAGTATTAATTTATATCTCTGCACACATAAGACTTCACAGACAAACAATCCCTGAGTGATCGCAGCAGTGACAGACCAGTGACATTAATGAAACACTACATCTGTTGACACACAGTAATGGGTTTCCACATATAATATGTGTTTGTTTTGAATATGCCGGGAAAATCATCTCTGCAGAAATAAATATTTACAATAAGAGAGTGGCAGCACCAATGATAAAACTAAGACATCAGTGACTGATACACTGCAGCTGATATTGCATAAGGATTATCCACCAATCCTCTGTAGTCTTTTACCTTTTGTTGTAGCTTTCATTCATCCAACAACAACAACAACCAAACCGTTGATAGGAGATCATCTCTCTGAATGAGTGATATCACCAGTGACATAAGAATGACACCAGTGACAAAGTAATATAAACTGTAGCTGCTGGTGACACAGCAGACACTGGAGTTTATTTTGGGTTATTATTTTTTCTAACAACAGAAGAAGACAAGTTCTTACAAAGCTGTCTGTATGAGTACCAACACCAGTGACAGACCAATGACACCAGTGACAGTACAAAGCAAACTGCGGCTGCTGTCATGTGGTGACAAAAGAGAATGTCAGTGTTTGTTAAGTTTATTCAAGGCTGAGTCTTAGTTCAACAATGCCCAAAACAAAATCACACAAGAAGCATCATACACTGCTTCCACTGGACATGGTTGTCTGAGTTCAGGCGCCAAGAAACGATCTGATGCTATTTTATCCCATGTGCCAAAGTCCACTGGACCCGTGACAGGAGCATCTCACCCACTGCTTTGCTATCGTTACATACCGGGTCTATTTTAGACCAGCTTTGCTTCTCAAGTGTGAAATTCACAATAACACTTGACATTACAGCCCACAAATTACATTACTTATAACACACACACTATTCTTTAGGATGTATGTTGTCTAATAAAGCAGTGGATCCCAACCTTTTTCCTTAAGGGACCCCTTTCCTATCATTGTGTAAACTGACGACCTTTGACATATTTTATGGCTATTTCATATTACACTCAATGCAATACAATACCAGTACAGAACAACTGATAAGCCGTACAATTACCCAAATAGTGAACTCAATAACTGCAGGAAGTTTGTGTAAAACAAACATTTTATTTCCTGTGAATGTAGCATTAGAGGTTTTTTTTATGAACTTTAGTTTTTTCCTCTTCCTGATTCTTTGCCATAGTTCTCTTAGCTCTTTGGTTGTTTAAACGGCATACTTTTCTAATGCAAGGTAAGGCTGTTTGAGAGTGAAAGCACTATGAATGTAGTTTGTGTCTTCAAGGTTAAGATTTTAAATAAAATTCTAAACTTTACAACAGTAAAACAGTTTTAGTTTATTCAGTTTTCTTCATAAGAATTATTGAAATGCTGAGATATAGGCTGTGTATATTTTTGTGTGTTTTGTGTGTTGTGTTTTCTTACACCCCTTTAAATCAAGAAACCCTCGTGACCCCTTGTGAAGCTTTTACGATCCCCTAGTAGGGAGCTATGATATGACAGGACATAAAAGCTAGTCTTCTCCAGCATCAGTTTCGTCACATGGATCCTATTTTGGACCCGCTAAAAAAGACTGTCCCTCAGTATTCTATCATAATTTTAAAACCATACACATTACTGTTTTATAGCTACAGCTATAAAGGTTCGTCCTTCTACCCAAGTTTATCCAAATGTTTTGTCCCCGAGCAACAATAATGAACACCATATTAAATAATGAGGATTCCATATTGAAAACTTTTTACGATATAATTTCCCAAAGTAATATTTTCATTATAATATCATCAGTATCATAATGTTTTAAATAAATTATACCATAATTGCAATATCAGCACTGTTACCACATTTTGCCAATTTATCCTGCTTTGTAAGAAAATAAAACTTGCTCCCTAACCTCTTCTCTTCTTCCCATGTATTTCTATATTTCTCCCAGTATTATACGTAATATTTTATTGACATCCCAGATTAAACTTAGTCAAAAAAGTAAATTATGTGTTACTACATCAATCATAAGTGAGAAGCAAAATGTAATGTGCTTGTAAAACAAACAATGTCTTACAAACAACTCTAAACAATGTGGCTGCTTAAAAACAGATTACTGCGGTGGCACAACTGAAACATGACACAGCCGCATCCGAGCTGAGGGTGGGATATCTGGTCAAAACCCAGTTTAAAACAGCTTTCACATTTCATGTTGTCCCCAGTGTAAAGGTAGTGTTCTTCAGGCAAAATATTCTTGTGTATGGAAGTAGAAAAGGATACAACATTTACCAGCTTGCTGGTTAATCCAGTAATAAGCGTAATAATCCAGTAAAAAGCCGCAAGTCCTCAGCATCAAAGATGGAGACAAAAGCATAAAAACAACCATCTGGAGTGCCACCAATAAAAAAGAAGATATACAGGACGATTTACATGGGAAGAAGAAAATAAGAAACAGACTAAAATTTTTACTCATTAAAAACATTATCTCCTTCTCCAGTGACAAACCTCTTTGTACAGTAAACCACTTATATTAATTGTGCTCCACAAAGGGATCGCTACTTGATGTTCTGTAATGGGCTTTAATGAGTTAATCAGTGATTGCAGCTGCAGATTCCCAAACAACAGAGCAACAACCTGTCATTAAAAATGATCCTGGTTTGCCAACTTCAAATTCATTTAAAGCATACCAGCTTGTTTTCCTGGTGTGCAGGTGTTTATGCATGACAGCAGTCAATGCTATGTCTGACTAGTAATACTTGTTATAAGGATGTCACTTAGTGCTTAATACTGGAAATGTTTTTTAGGAGACTGTCCTCTCAAGGAATCAAAATATGATAGAATGGGTTAACAAAAAGTAAGACATTAACGTGGGGCACTGCTGTTCATTTCCAGCCAACAGTCATTATTGTTTTTCTCTTAGCCTGACATTCCCTAATCAAGTGTTTATTATAGTAACCAGGAAGACGAAACACTTACCCAACAAAGTAGTATTTTAAACCATAACCACAATGTTTCCCTAAGTACTTATTTTAACCCAAACCCTAAACCTAACCAAGTTTTGTGCCTAAACTGAACCTTTACCATAACCTGTTATGAGTTATTAATGGTTGCAGACATAAGGAAAATTCAAGGGACCAGACACATACCATAAAACTAAACAATGAAATCTTGAAATCCAAAATTGCAACACCACACATTGACCAAACACTGGCTGTAGATCATGTCCACTACAGTTTCTCCTACAGGCTTGGAGCAGGAGGGTCAGAAGAAGGCGTTGTAATCTGCAACTACACTGCTAGATGCCACTAAATCCTACACACTGGTCCTTTAAATGAGAAACACCCACATAAAAGCACTTATGTTGCTCCTTGAAGGAATAAAACTCGTTTATTTTTCAACAGTTACTTTTAACGATTTTGGAAGGCACAAACAAATTGTGTCATCCTGCCGATGCGGGCATCACATCAGAAAACACTTGTTGTTGTAAAGAGCAGTTAACTTTAATTTAATTAATTAATTTGAAGGACCAGTTGGTTTTTATATGTTACATATAACAGTTATTTTTACAAGGATGGACCAACTGAAGTCTCATTCACTTCTCATCACTTCATTTTAGGACCTCCACATGATTCAAGCTGAGTTAATGTGACGTCGTCTAATAGTGTCTAAAACCCATTTCCATTGCCACGATTGAAGCTGCTGCACACACAACACACATAACAAAACATACAATTGAACAAACATGCCTACTTTATTCAGTGACTGACCAGGTGTACAAAGGTGTGAACTCTTCTCTCTTTCTCATTCTTCACTCTGCCACTTTTTCTGTGTACCACCAAGAATGCTTTTGAGGGGTTTGCCGTTATCCCCATTTGTAAAATTCATTGAGTCG